TTAATCACTTATAAGTTTTGGAATATTTAGAAGATTTATACAATTTATTATACTCGAGTCCTACTAATTCAAGTTCTAGATGCTTATTTATAGACTAGTTATTTCTACTATTCGTATAGTAGTAGCAATAGTAATATAAGTAATTATCAAGGATTAAGTAATTAAATGAATTAGTAAATAAGCGATCAAGATATCAAGTTCATAAGCGAACTTTAAATATAATATTATGAGAAGTATAAGAATGCCAGTGTGGATTATATTAAGAGAGATAATCTAAGCTATACTACTATGCGTATATGGAAACAGAGAATACGCTAGTGTTAAGTGTAAGCGAGGGAGCCTTATATACCCGAGGTATATGCGTATATATACGTCTTTCTAACAAATATAGTACGATTAGACTTACTCGCAGTGACTCACCTCGCTTACGCGAATTAATTTTCTAATACTAGTAGATGGAAATGGATAATGTATTACTCGTAATGTTTATAAAATAGTATGATAATCATTCATTAAGCATATTACATTACTTGTAACTTCATCTCATTCTCATTTCAATTCGCTTATAAATTCCCACCGAACGCTAAACCCCGAGTCTTCGATTATAGCTTGCATATTATTTGTTCTATTCGTATTTTTACAATTCCTATACAACTCCGTTCTATTCCATTCTTTTCTGAACCCATAAACCCATCCTATATAAACACTATCATAAACATTATACTCGTATATATTTTCCATCCTCTCCCCTCCTCCCCCCCTATCTCGACATAGCACTAACCGGACTTATCAAACCCACCAAACCCACCGCACTAACCAAACTCACCACCCCCTCCCCACCCCCAAGTAACCCCCTAATCCTCCTCTCCGCCTCCCTAACCTCCGCACTATCATCCACCCCCCCCATCGGACTTCTGAAGCTTTGAACTAGCGACACCGGTACCCTAGGTGAAACCGAATTTGATAGTTGAGAAAAATATGTTGGCGGAGATTGATATATTGACGACGAAGTACGAGTATGATACGAAGGAACTGGATATGTCATTACAGAATTCGAAAACACGACGCCATCCGGCCCTGCTGTTTGGATTGAGTTATTTCTCTCAGGATAAGAAGCAGAAGTTTGATGAGTCACCCCAAAGCCCGAACCCGAACCCAAGCCCGAGTCCGTATCTACCAATGAATTACCCCTCGATATTGTAATAACTTTTGCCGATCCCCTCAGAGCCGACGAATTTGGTTGTGGCGGTATTTGCACTTCTTTTTCTCGGTATATAGGGGTTCTAAAGCTAGAAGGAGAAGAAGGACAACGTTGGTGTTGGCGATCAAAATATGATGATAAAGCTGACGAGGAAGGAACTTCAGAATTTTCTGTTGTGATGGCTCTAGTGTCAATAGATGAGATACGTGGATAAGAGTGATATGAATGTGTAGCATTAGCATTAGAAGGAGGTTTAATGTCTGAGTTGTGTTTGTTGAATGTAGGGTCAGGACCCACAGCCAAAAAGATGACTTCGCGACCCGAGTGACGTTGTGGTGGAGGGAAATTAGTTGGTGATTTATCGGTTGCTATAGTAGGTGGTAGTATCATGGGTGTGTGAAATGATTTGCTCATGTTCCCACTCATCGTTTCGTCGGGAGCTATGTTTCGCTGCGAAGCAGGTTTCAATGTACCGGGGCCTTCATAGCCTGGTAGTTCGGCGACACTACCCCTTGGACGTTTCGCTTTTAGACGATGCCAGAAATGGTTAGATCGGTTTTTCAAAGTGGAAGTTGTGGTGTCCATCCAGGTATTGGGATGAGTGGGTGGTGGTGGGAATAATGAAAGAATGGACTCGTCTGGGTCAGACTTTTCGGACAGTGAATGTCGGCGTCGATATCGAAGAAGGAAGAACAGGACAATACCGAGCATAATCGCAACACTTAGAGCGACAGGAACGACGATAATGATTCTCTCGTGGGCAATGGTTGTGAATGTTGGAAGCTGTGTTGGAGTTTCAGTTATGGGTTGAGGTGAAATAGTAGGTGTTGGGGTAGAGATGATGGTTGTCACGGTAGGTAACGAGGAAGTAGTCGAAGATATTGTAGGCGTCAAAGGAATAGTTGTAACAACAACACCATCGGTTGGATTATGAATTACTCCCGAAGTTGTGATTTGTGCGGACGACAATAAGTATACTTTGTCCAAACCGGAGGATACTTGATCCTGCGATTCATCTCGAATGACAGAATCTGGTCCATCTGTGGTGTCACATGCGGCATTTGCAGCTTTGATGGAAGGGGTAAAATCATTGCCCGTCATGTTTGTGAGGGAAAAGCGGGGAGAAAAATTGATGAGGGTCGGAATAGAGGTTGTGTGATAGTTGGAAGTATTGAGAGGATTCGATTGAATACCGAAGAAACTTAAAGGAGTCAGAATAACTGCTTTGATGGGTACGAACGTTGTCACTTACTAGGAATTGTTCGCATTAGGTCCGATGTTTGAGTTTAGATGTATAGTTGTGTTGTAAGTTCCGATTGGAACCACCCATTCATTCAACATTGTCTATGCAAACATCAGTAAGCCATGATAGCTCTTAAGGGACGAACAAATTAGTAACATACCATAACACTATTACTTCCAGTAAACAAAACCAACAAATGACTACTCATCTCTTGAATCAAAAGAGCATCACCATTCTCTTTCCACCAGAGAGTAACATCTCCAGAACCCAAAACGGCCCCCGCCCATGGCCATGTGAAAACCACATCTGCGTTTATACACCTCAGAAACAAGCCAAGCACGAGAAGAGAAACCAGACGTCGCATCTTCAGGTAAGGTGAGGTCTTCTTTGATACTACAAGTATGCATTTTCGAAGGAAGACTTTTGACCCAAAGGAATCAAAGATAGAATCAAAGCAAAAAACTCACGTATGTTTGTGGACATGAGATCTTTTTAATCAATATCCCCATGAAAGACTCGTATATCATACAACAGTAGATGTATGTGTGTAGAATGAACGGACAGTACCACACCACCACAGATACTACCACACTAAATAAGAAATAGAAACAATTGTACCGACCGAGAAGGCAGTAGATAGCAATTTTCGATGCTGTTCCATAAATACATTTGTATATACTGTACTGACAGCTGTGCCGCTCAACCTCGTCAAACTTCAGAATCTTTACAGTATTCTTCGGACCGAGGCAACTGCGCCTCTTCCCGCCGCTAATGTCGTCAGATTAAACTGCATATTATTGAAAGTAACGTAAGAATTATAAATATACATATCAATCAGAGTTGGTTGTTTGTGGGTGGAGAAAAGGTATTGCCATTATGAAGATCAGTAACTTCATCTAGGCTTTCTCTTACTTAAGAACCTCGCAATCCATATTACTGCAATGAACTCTCGCAGCTTTGCAATCCTTACATTGCATCACGAAAGCGTGATATACTTTACGAGTACAAATGCATTTAAAAGAAGATTCTAAGCTAAGGTATTATTGAAATCGATGTGCAAGTAATTGAATGAGAGCGAAGGATTGAAAATGTTGCATAGCTGCGCTGCAATATTCAAAGGAAATCCTTCGCTGTAACCTGGTTTCTAGGGATTATATATTTTCATGGGCTTGAGTAGTACAATTAACCGGGGAACGAGATTCAAGTACAAGTATATCTCATCCAGGCATCCAGCATTCATCAAACACGGGACGTAAGAGATTCGGAAGACATACGCGCACGATGTTAAGATCGTCTTCTACGCGGTATGAGATGAACAGTGGCTCATTTGGCTGACTTGAAAAGTTTATTGCAGGTATACTGTATGAAGATGGTGTTTTGTTTGCTTACGAGTACAAGATGAGCAGAGATGTAATTCTTGATCATAAAGAACTTGTTTAAAGAAGTAAAGAATTAGCGAAATCCTCCCCATATCTCCATATAGTAAGTAGAGTGCCAAATAAAGGGGTATAAATACCTATCTCCCTTATACAGTACTGTAACTCGTGCAGGGCATCCCTAGTAGGAAGGTTACATTTACCTAACCAGGTATTATACTGTATAGCAACCTGCCAACCTCAATTTCGCCATTCTGACATGCAATCTACCCGAGGAATTCTTCTCTGCCACGAGGAGTAAATTGAGTACACTATATAGAGGATCTTTATCATAAACGAGCAGATTCATTATTTCATCATATAGTACTTTAGGGTTGAAGAAATATATATATAGGTTCCTGCGCAGATTTCAGCCACATGGAATCGTTGTGTGAAATATCGCTGACGGCACACGACAAAGTTGACAAAATTCTAGATGCGTGACGTTACAATTTGATGAAAAAGAGGAAATGTTTGATTATTTTATTTTGTACTTAAATTGTGGAAAAAGAAAACCTTAGATGTGATCCAACGCTGGATTCAAGGAGCCACTCGGAGGAATTTTAACTCCTTGCATTCTATAGGAAATCATTCCTTTCAATTGGCCATCTATGATATCAAATTGAACCTTAACACCACTTCATGACTTCATCACCACACCCCGCACATACTTACGCTCTTTCCATCTTCCAAAACCTCGCTCCTATACCGATCAATCCACAAGTAGCACTAACCCCCGTAAAAACAATGACCATCCCATACTCCGTCCCATAACCACCCTTCACACCATCCAAACCTCCTAATCCAACAAGCCACTCCGTAACTGGTCCACATGCCACACTTCCAACTCCTCTTCCCGCACTAAATAGGCCCATCAACACACCAAACCCCGCCTTTTGATCCGTGCGTTGAACTTCTCGTATCATGCCTGCCCAAATGGCAGTCCAGCCTCCTGCAAAGATTCCATAGATGATGGTGAAGAAGATTAGAGATGGAAGGGAAGTTGATATACCCCACAAGAGGAAGACCGATAAGGCAGAAAGGACGGATGAGAGGAGTATGACGGTGGTTATATGTCTGATATCGGAGAGGTGACCTAGGGAAATGGCTCCAATGACGGAGAAGGAATTCAGGAGTGCAATTAGTGCAGTGCCAGTTATGGGAGAAAAGGATAGCGAGGCACTGTATGACGAGAGATAGATGGAAGGTGAGAAGAATCCGAGCGAGGATAAGATATTTGCAGCTTGAAGAAACCAGAATATGGGTGATTTGAGAAAGGTATAACTTGGATTTGATGGCGGTTCACTGGGATATGTTGCTGGAATCCTTGGTTTGATGTAGTAGATTAGAGGGCAACAGAGGAGCAACAAAATGACTGCCCAAATTCGAAGGGTACAGCGGAATCCGTATTTATCGACAAGATACGACAAAAGAAATGGGAAGATAAGGCCAGATGTTCCAACACTATCAAAGTTTATTAGCTACGTTTATAAATTCAACGTGATCATCGGATGCTTACCCTGACCACATAACACCAAGCGCAAGACCCTTTCGTTTGACTATCACCAGATCGGGAAGTTAGTAATTGACTGAGAAAGAAGGGTTCTGAAGTAAAATGAGGAACCAAAATTGTACAAGGATAACTGTAGAGTATATAGAAAAGGAAACACGCAAAAGAAGTTTGATTGTCCAGACAGAGTTGTATATCTAAATAGAATGAAACATCTAAACAGAGTTAGATCACCAAAATGAGCTAACCATCAAAACAGATCTGAAAATTGGTAAGTGTGAAACGAAACAACCGATTATATACCAAACCATTGATCCAGATAAAACATCGTTGGAGAGTATAAAAGACTACCTCCAATAGCGTACAAAACACCTTGTGTAACGATGAGGTGCCAAACTTGTGTGGCGAAGCTAGCCGCAATAAGTGCTATCAATACGATCAGAAGACCCACTATTGACGACAGCCGACGGATTGGTGGGAATTTCTCCAGAATGTAGAGGGAAACGGGGGCAAAAAGATACACTGATTAACACCTTATGAGCACTTATCTATCGGGGGAAAGAGAGGGGTCATATGGTTTGTTTCAATATTCCAAAAGGAAATGGGACAGTAAACATACTGATTCCAGTGGCACAACTTCCAGTAATGGCTATGCTATCTGCATGCTCATCGAAAGGGGGATGAGTAGAGTAATACGTCTGAAAGACTCCAAACGCGAACGGAAATCCTGGTTTATTGTGAGCCTTACGTCGCCTTCTGGGCATTTGGATGTTCAAATCCTGATTGAATGTGCAAGTAGAGTCCTATATGATATGAGACAGAGCACTCACCCCAGATTAGAGCCTCAAATACAAAACATGCAGCTAAAAAAAGCCAAGCATCTATGCCCCCGTCCGCTCTTGGAATATCACTCCCTTCCGCATTGTCCGAGCCAGTAGGACCTTTCTCCAAATCTCGAATACCTTCTAAAACTGTGACTGTTACTTGAACTTTGCACTCATCTGCGCCAGAACCGGTGATCTTCTCCATGGAGAGATGGGAAGATGGGAAGATGAATGAGTTGTTGAATGGTGGATAGTTGGGATTATTGAAAGAAGGTGAAAATTATCTCCAAATTGTAGGGCGGGATATAGAATTTGAGAAACAAGGTGAGCTTTCCAACGCCATAGGTAGGAGGTACAAGGAAGTGGATATATTGAAGTGAGGCATGTCTGTTGGGAGAGAATTTGACCACTTGGTCCACACCATGTGTTGGTTTTCGAGTACATCGCACCTTCTCTTCTCGGCGTGCCTGTGCTGGATTAGATTGGGCGAGTGGATAACATTTCCAGACAAATATTTTGTGCCTACCAACATAACATGATGGTTACGCAGGTTTGTTTGAATCTTTTTTAATCTGGTAGCCGTGCATCTATCTGCATGAGACAGAATCATAGCCCCGGATTCTGAAGATCATCGTCAGTTGCAAGTGATTGTTTATCAACCCCCGCGGAGATGTATAAGCGATTAGGATATTTATATTGAACGTGCAAGCTTTTGCAATACGTCAGGTTATCAGTAACAAATTCGCCCCCAAGTCCGGCTAGCAACGTTCAAAAATTGAGGATGTACGGCTTTAGGCAAGGAAGTGTTGCAGCGTGACTTGCATACATGGATTTCCTGATCCTTTCCATCACCAACCTGGTCAAACCAACTGCCATATTACTCCCAGCTGCAGGAGCTGTATCCGTTTTAAAGCCAGCTGATCACTCGGCCCGTGTATAAATTCCTCAAATGCCGATCAGTCAGTGCTGACTCTGAGGGCTCAGCCGAGCAGATTTAGAGTGCGAATTCCGGTAGTTTGGTTCACCAAGAACTGTACTAGGACTGGCGAATAGATTATCGCAAGTAGGGCCATATTTTGGTGGGACAAATTCGTGATATATTGCTGAGAGGCCTGCCGCGGAGAGATTTGTTGGTGTTCAATTAGCGCTCCTTTCCGCATGATTCGATCGCAACCCAGTAGGAGTCGAGTTGAGAAATAAAGTCCCACACACGTACGAGCAGATACGCTTTAGATGCAAGATAAGGGGGATATTGCCATCTTAGCCATAGCCATTCTCTCATTTCTTGTTCTCCACATGAGATAATATCGCATAGTTCAGCACCACCAATCCACCGTAAGTGAGGAGTATGCTACTTTTCATTGGTGCGAGATGTCAGTGGACTTTATTTCTTCAATGAAACTTTCCATGTAGCGGGGAAGCGTATACCTAGCCGTTCCCGTCGGCATCCATGCGAGGTTTCCCTGGAAAACCCACAAGATTGCAAATAAATACAGTTCTTATCAAGGTCTTATCAGGTGCCATGTATGAAGTACTTTTATGACAGGCTGAATTCGATAGCGTTATAGAATCCTTGTCACTTACCTGTTGGTTGTTTGTTAAGAATTAATATCTGACGATAGTATCATGATTTCTATTTGCCGTTGAGTTAGGCAGGTAATGTGATTCAGTGGGTCAGGACTTTCACTTCCCGGCTTTGATATTCCCCCGGGTGATGAATTTCGGCATATCTTATGACGGCGTTGGCTCGAATGTTGAAAAAATTCCGAGACATCATACCAACAACGCTAGCAGCTTTACACTTGACTGCTCTTGCATTGACTTTGCCGTTGATGCACGATTGAATAATTGGGTGCTTCACAAAAACCAACAATCGCTTTGGCGCATGATATTGATACTCGGTATGTGGGTAAAAGGCGTCTTCAGATTAAATCGGTCCGAAGAATTAGACGGCAATAAAAATTGATCACGGCTCAACTAGAATGGTGATGAGAAGGTAGGGAAAGATTTACGTGCTGTCTTTTTTGGTCGCCCGCCTTGATGAGATGGTTGCTATCCTATCTGGGGAAAAAACGATATCAGGTGTTGCCTTGGATGATTCTCCCCGCTATGAAACCTCGAGAGGCACTAGGTGTCCCTTTATTGAATGTCAATTGGTTGAGCCTCCAAGAGGTATTGAGTTTACACACCTTTCTATATTCGAGGAGTGTTTGGTGTCGATCTTAGAAGATACAAAGGTCGGTACAGCAGAAGAGGCTCTGTGCATCATCCAGTAGCAAATAGGTTCAGTCACAATGTGATTTGGTCGGGATGTTTACTACTGATCGTGGGGTAGCCAATAGGACCAGTTCAAGGGAAGAACCATTCCGTGAGCTTGGACATACTGCCTATATTGACATGTGTCTATCGCGAGTTGGGCCAGGTTAAGATAATGCCTCGGCGACCCAACTACCAGGGGTCTTGCAGTGTAAAGGTATCCAACATAGAAGCAATACGGCCCAACAACCTTTGGCAGCATTCATGTGCCGAAAGTACCGTGAACACGAAATGGATGAATTGAATCGCAGCTGCCGAGGTTCATCGGACGAGCACCCTGCCACTTGGCTGTGAGGCATCGCCTACAACTACACATTAATGGAGAGCACCGGAATTAGTATCACGAAGAGCAGAGCTTTGACAAAAGTATGTTACTTAAATAGAATAAAACTGCTATGATTGGAAGCTTGTAAAAGAAGGCCCAGTAGAAAGTGTATTGTACAAGAAGATTCCGCCCTCAAAATAGTTTCTGTAAACGAACATTTTGGAGGGAGGAAACGTAACCAAACGAAATCCAGATAAACGTCGTTGTAGCGTGCGAATCCGAAGAAAACTGTGGTGTTGTAGAAACAACCGGATAAAGCAGTGCAACCCCAACTTATATAAACATATAGCTTTCGGTTATAGACCCACGGTGAACTCTGGTCCGCCATCGAAGCCCTTTATTGCATAGATTTGAATTCAGACTGTCTGAACCTGCGAGGTTCGTGTAGAAAGTGGCCCAATCTCATAGGTAAAATCTCATTATCCATCACCAATTTAGCAGTTCCAAATGACAACTACATCAACTGCTTAGCTTTCAAGCCTGGCGATTAATTATTTGCCCTCTTGACTTGGGAACATCCAATTGGTATAATATTTACGCAGCCTTCTTCCACTGACTGTAGACACCGATCAAACTGCTCACGGTTCCTGCCAACCCAACAATACCATCATCGAAGTTGGTCAATCCGATCGCCGAACTTGGAACTGTAAGATCGCATAGGTCCGAGAGGAGTTGCAAATTAATCGCAGCGCGTTCCCTATACCGAAATATTAGCAGCAAGTCCAACATTCTCATGTATGAGGCTCCACTTACTTCTCAATTCTCTTACTAGTTACAACTCCTTCTCCATCTTTCTTATCAATCCTTGCGGATTGTTGACGAAGGTTATACAACGAGTACATTCCAGAGGCAGTACTGAACAACAACCCCATCAACCAAAACCTATAGGCCTCCTTCTGTATCCTCTTCGTCGACGGGCTCTTTCTAATGCCTGCAGCATCCAACACCGTGAACGCATCAAAGGTCAAATAACCCGCATATCCCAATTGTCTACCGACAGCACAGTACTTGATCACCGGATCAAGACTCTTCGAATCCGCAGCGATAGCAGCTGCTTTTAAATGCTCGACGTTCTTGCCAAAGCGCATTAATTTACGCGCAAGTCCAAACTGCTTTTTGATGGCCTCGTAAGGGGCGATTTCGCCATTCGTTCCATTGGTACGGAGGAGATACCAGGCATAGAATCGGGAAAAGTATTGAAGGGTGCGAAGGAGCTTGTCACGACCGGCGGTGGTTGCGACGAATTTGAGGTAATGGGCGACGGATGGATGGTAAATCAGAGTATCGGCGACCATTTTGATGATTTGAATTACAAAACTAGGTAAACAGAAGGAGTGTACTGAGAAAGATAAGATAGATATGTTAGATTATGAGGTTGTAAAAGGAAAAACAGAGTTAGAAAATGGCTTGTGAAGGGATGCTTGGTTATGTTATCTTCTGATTGTCCAACGCCGAGGTCCATATGAAACCCTTGACCGAAACAAGTAAAGTAAAGTTGTTGTCTAGAAATAAGGCAACAATATAGAGATGCTGCTAGTAGGAGGCAAGTCACATTTTATGAACTATATTTGCAAAAACTCCATACTTTGATGATTTTCGTTTTTGGAATCTTGTATCATTATTTTCACGGGTTTATTTCTTTCTCTCACTCTCTATATTGGCTGAATCGAAAGTGAATATCAGTGTGACTCTGTTCTTGTCTTTACTCTTCCTGTTTTCCTTCTTTCCGTCTTGTAGTGGACTTGTAGTGGCAAATAAGCACATCCGAAGATGCCAGAAATTGCAGAAGGTGAATCACAAGTCTTGTGTCCTCCACGATATGATCTCAAATGTTAATGTATATGCACAGTTGCGAGAGCTGTGCATTTCATACGTAAAAGTCTCGTTGGCAAAACAATATCAGTTGTGAAAGCTCAAGATGATACCAACGTCTTTGGAAAGGTCGGAACAAGTGCTGCGGAATTTCAAAAGGCATTGACTGGGAAGAAAGTATTAGGCGCGGGACAACAAGGCAAATATTTCTGGTTAGATCATTCTTGAGTATATAAAATGTGTATACTAAGTCGTCACAGGATGATCATGTCCTCACCACCACATCCAGTATTGCACTTCGGCATGACGGGTATGAGAATACTCGAGATCATTATTTGTCAAAGTGCTAAATAATTCAGGATGGTTCCACATTCGAGGGCTGGGAACTTACAATTTCAGATCAAAAGATGAGGCCGAAAAGGAGGTATGGCCACCGAAGTACTCGAAGTTTTCACTACAAACTGCAGAGGAACCAAAGGTTGAGGCCGCATTCACAGATTCACGGAGGCTTTCGAAAATCCGACTGGTAGATTGTGTTGCTGAGGCCATTCGAAATACGACTCCACTCAAAGAGAATGGTCCAGATCCCATTATCGATAAAGATGTCCTGACAGTTGAGTGGCTCGAGCAGAAGTTGAACAAGAAACAGGTGCCCATAAAGGCATTATTACTTGACCAAGCGAATATCAGTGGGATTGGAAATTGGGTTGGGTCAGTCATCTTTATGTACACCCTACTGACCCTTACTGACACCACTTGAAGCGACGAAGTACTATACAATGCGAGACTTCATCCTGAGCAGTATAGCAATACGTTCAGCTCTGAAGAGATCAAGCGGTTGCATACTTCGATAATGTATATCTGTGAAACGGCAGTAGACTTTTTGGCAGACTCGTCCAAATTCCCAGATGACTGGATGTTCAAGCATCGATGGGGGAAAGGAAAGAAAGACAGCCCAACCGCATTACCAAACGGGGAAAACATCATATTTCTTACCGTAGGAGGGCGGACATCTTGCGTGGTACCAAGTGTGCAGAAGAAAACGGGCGCCGTCGCTGGTGATCTCAAGAAGAGAAGTGCGTCCTGTGACAGCGAAACTATCGAGGAGGTTCCAGTGAAGAAACAAAGCTCGAGAAAGAGGAAGGTCACTGTGGTATCAACGAAACCCGAAGAGTCTGAAGAAGAAATTACAAAACGAAAGAAGCCGAAACCAGCGTCTCGAAAATCCACTCAGGTGAAAAATGAGATTTCGGATGATGCGGAGGATGTTCCCACAAAGGAGAGGAAGTCAAAGTTGACTGAGACTGAACTAAAGGCAACAGAGGATATTGCACCAACTCAAACGAGACGCAGGTCTGGTCGTCATGCGAAGACTGATATTGTCCAGAACTAAGGATAATATTTCGCCATATAGTGTTTCGGGAACGAGCTGATGAGGTCTTAGCGAGACGGGCGATGTATTAAAGTTGCATTGTAAGATTACTATGTACCACGATGTATGTCTGTATTTTATGGTTGTATACTATTGGGGGATTAAACAATTCACTGCATGTTTCCATTCTCCAAGTGCGAATCTTGGCATTATTTACACTTTTCTGATGATTGCTTACCTGGATATGCTCGCTTCCATTCCAATTCCAAGATCTCGGGTACATTCTTAATATCTCTGGAATGCATCTTCGGTCTGACAACCAAACAATAAGAATGTCAACGGCGAGCGACACGATCTTGTTATCCTTCCTAATACTATTACCGGTACAGTAGATGAGTGGATAATGAATACATTTTTGTTTGCTTGTTTGCTTATGTTTGTTTTTTATTCTTGACTAATTGAATATGAATGTCACTGAATGAGCCACCAATCATAAAAGTTTCCCACCTCGGATATTCCATGTAACCGCTAACCCCCGTGAGAATTCTTGTATATACTATATACATACTGTAAAAAAGGGGTCAGCATATCAATGACAATGATGCAGTACACCGTATTCGGGTTTTTAATTCTTGGGCCTCCTCTTGGAACAGGGTAAGCGACATTTAAGGCTGATGGATTATGTCAATCAAATTAAAGTGGATATTACCAGATTACCAGATTAGAAAAAAAGAAAAAGATTCGGTTACAACTTCTTTATCATAGTGAGTCACTGACTTTCTATCAGTTCGGAAGCCGGATACTTTGCTACCCGAGATCAAAAGTCTACCAAGCTCAGGCACACACCTCAGTGCTCAATATACGAGTACCTAAACGAACGGCGGGATACAAATGCAAACAATTGGAGCCTACCTCCTTAAATTTTATTATATTTTTTATCAAATTTTATTCCTAATTCTGTTCTTTTCTATTCAGATAATTATCTTGATTGGCTGTACACGGAAGAAGCTTACCTATATATTCAACTGTGGGGTAAATGGGATTTATGAATTCTCGATAATTTGAAGATGACGAATATAATATTGGAGCGTGTCCCATCTCATCTCACTCTTTTATTGATATATCTTTGAGCTCTTCTTATACAGTGAAGGAATTCCTTTTCACTCTCTTTACATCCCATATACTTAATTTAATAATTTAATAAAATCTTCTTTAATTTATTTCAACTTTGTTTGGCATCAATCGAAAAGGAGGTACACTTACACAATATGGCCACTTCAGCGCCTTTCGGGGTTCTACCTCAAACCGAGGTTGTTGCTGACAAGGTGGATGAGGTTATCGAAGAAAAGGTTTATGGAAAGTCTGGCCATGAACGGAAAGATAGTGATACAGAATCCTCGACGCTAGACTCCACGAGAGAAAAGGACGACGCCGCCATTCGTACACTTGCAAGACAAATCACACAAAAGTCCATGGAAGGTGGCCATGACCACAACATCAACCCATTTCTAGGATCAAATGACCCAAAACTCGACCCATCATCAGAAAAGTTTAGTTCTAGAGCATGGATGAAACATCTGGCTCATATCCAATCTCGCGATCCAGAAAGATATCCCAACAGGACAGCAGGAGTAGCCTACAAGAATTTGAACGCCCATGGATTCGGTGAGCCAACCGATTACCAAAAGACGTTTGGTAACTACCCATTGGAGATCGCGGGTATGGCCAAAAGAGTTCTTGGACTCAGCAAGCCAACCAAGATTCAAATTTTGAGAGACTTTGACGGACTTGTTAAGAGTGGAGAAATGCTTGTCGTGCTTGGTCGACCTGGATCCGGATGCTCAACTCTATTGAAGACAATCTCCGGGGAGACTTCGGGATTTTTTGTTGACAACAACACATATATCAACTATCAAGGAATCCCAATGAAGACTATGCACAACGATTTCAGGGGGGAATGTATATACCAAGCAGAGGTTGATGTACATTTCCCTCAATTGACCGTGGCGCAGACATTATCATTTGCAGCCAAGGCGAAAGCTCCTCGGAACCGCATACCCGGAGTTACAAGAGAACAATACGCGGATCATCTTCGAGATGTCATGATGACTACCTTTGGACTTTCTCATACATTCAATACGAAAGTTGGCAATGATTTTATTCGAGGGGTGAGTGGTGGTGAGAGAAAGCGTGTCAGTATTGCGGAAGCTGCTCTAGGTGGAAGTCCTCTTCAATGTTGGGACAACAGTACAAGAGGTTTAGATTCTGCAACCGCGCTGGAATTCGTCAAGACTCTTCGGAATTCTACTGAGATGACTGGATCCACAGCTGTAGTCGCCATTTACCAAGCTTCCCAGTCTATCTATGATCTCTTCGACAAGGTGGCTGTACTCTACGAAGGAAGGCAAATTTACTTTGGCAATATCCACGCGGCGAAGTCATTTTTCATTAACCTAGGGTTTGACTGTCCGGCTCGACAGACTACTGCGGACTTCTTAACATCAATTACATCGCCAGCAGAGAGAATCATTCGACCTGGTTATGAAGGCAGGACTCCATATACCCCAGATGAATTCGCTACCGTTTGGCAAAACAGCGAGGATAGAGCACAGCTACTCCGGGAGATCGACCAGTTTGATGCAGAATTTCCCATTGGTGGACAGGCCCTTGACGATTTCAAGCATTCCAGGAAGGCAGCACAGGCTAAGGGTCAGCGAATGAAGAGTCCATATACGATTTCCCTTCCTATGCAGATCAAGTTATGTGTGGAGCGTGGATTCCAAAGACTCAGGGGTGATATGACTCTTCTTTTGACGGGTCTCATAGGTATATTTCAGCACCTGGATATATATACTGACGAATGAACTGACATCAAATGATAGGTCAAACTGCGATGTCTTTGATTATTGGTAGTGTGTTCTACAACCTTCCAAATGATACCAACAGTCTTTACAGCAGAGGCGCCCTTCTATTTTTTGCTATCTTGATGGCTGCGTTCCAGAGTATGCTGGAGATTCTCACTCTTTACGCGCAAAGGCCAATAGTTGAGAAACATACCAAATACGCTTTCTATCATCCAGTTGCAGAGGCTTGCGGATCTATGCTGTGCGACATACCGAATAAAGTATGCACGACTATCATATTCGACCTTGGTCTTTACTTCATCACAAATTTACAGAGAACCCCGGGGCATTTCTTTGTGTTCTTCCTGTTTACCTTTATGTGTACTTTGACAATGTCTATGTTCTTCCGGTCTATCGCTTCACTATCACGAAGTTTGTCAGAGGTATGTATCAGCTCTTATACATCTCATTATTCAAGAAGCTAATATAAGCAGGCAATGGCACCAGCTGCCATCTTTATTCTTTCAATCGTCACTTACACTGGATTTGCTGTCCCCATTAGAGATATGCATCCATGGTTCCGGTGGATCAATTATATCGATCCAGTTAGTTATGGGTTTGAGGCTTTGATGATCAACGAGTTTCACGGCAGGCAGATCCCCTGCTCAGTATTTGTCCCCTCTGGCGGAAATTACACAAATGTTGGAGCGGATGAAAGAATTTGCTCCACCACTGGTGCTGCTGCTGGCGCAAATTATGTTGACGGCGATAGATACATTGAGGTCAACTTTGGTTACTCTCATACTCATCTCTGGAGGTAAGGCTTAGTCTAAAGTTGTCTGTTGATAATCTGCTAACATCTTGGCAGAAACTTGGGTATCATGATCGCCTTTATGTTGTTTGGTTGTGCTGTATACCTAACCGCAAGCGAATTTATCTCGGCGAAAAAATCCAAAGGAGAAGTCCTTCTATTCCGCCGTGGCCGTATACCCTATATTTCGAAATCATCTGACGAGGAAGCAAAATTGGACGATCGTATGACCGCTGCAACTCTCGCCAGAACGAAGACTGTTCCAGATGCTCCACCTAGTATTCAAAAGCAAACTGCCATATTTCATTGGGACGATGTTCATTATGATATCAAGATCAAGGGTGAGCCTAGGAAATTGTTGGATGGAGTTGATGGATGGGTCAAACCTGGAACTTTGACAGCTCTGATGGTAAGATTTCTCAGTTTTCCAATCGTCGCGCAATGTCATCTAACCAAATTTTCTTAGGGTGTCTCTGGTGCCGGAAAAACCACTCTTCTCGACGTTCTTGCCTCGCGTGTAACCATGGGTGTTGTCACCGGACAAATGCTCGTAGATGGGCGCCAAAGGGATATTGGTTTCCAGAGAAAGACAGGTTACGTCCAACAGCAGGATCTTCATTTGGCTACATCTACTGTTAGAGAGGCATTGACTTTCAGTGCCGTTCTTCGTCAGCCCAAAGCTACCCCGCAAGCTGAAAAGCTCGCCTACGTTGATGAAGTCATCAAAGTCTTGGAGATGGAAGAATATGCTGATGCTGTTGTTGGTGTCCCAGGTGAAGGTATGCACTCCTTCCCATTTATATTTGCTTCTTGAAACCGAGTCTCACAATTCACATAGGTCTTAATGTTGAACAGCGTAAACGTCTCACAATTGGTGTTGAGCTTGCTGCAAAGCCTGCTCTTCTTCTCTTCCTTGACGAACCAACTTCTGGTTTAGACTCCCAAACTGCCTGGTCTATCTGTGCATTGCTTCGTAAACTCGCCGACAATGGTCAAGCCATTCTTTGCACAATTCATCAACCTTCCGCCATTCTGTTCCAAGAATTTGATCGTCTATTGTTCTTGGCCCGAGGTGGAAAGACTGTGTACTTTGGTGGAATCGGCGCACATTCAAAGGTCCTGACTGATTACTTTGAACGAAACGGTGCTCCTGCTTGTGGGGATCTAGCTAATCCTGCAGAATGGATGCTTGAAGGTAAGGCCTATCTCTCAACACCCTTTTATTGACTATCACTGACATTCAGCACAGTCATTGGCGCCGCTCCAGGATCCGATACCTCGATAGATTGGCCAGAAACCTGGAAGAATTCCAACGAACGTCAGCAAGTAAAGTCGCATCTCGCAGAACTAAAGAATACTCTGTCTCATAAGGAAGTTGAGCACGATCCAACTTCACTCAATTCCTTCGCTGCAGGGTTTGTGGCCCAGATGCAAGTAGTTCTTGTTCGGGTTTTCCAACAGTACTGGCGTACTCCTTCATACCTTTACTCTAAGACTGCCCTCTGCACCTGTGTTGTAAGTTACCACTCCACCGAACATCGCATGAGATTACATAACTAACAATCATTCAACAGGGTCTCTTCATCGGATTTTCATTCTGGGACACCAAAACCTCCCTCCAAGGAATGCAAAACCAACTTTTCGCCATCTTCATGCTCCTCACCGTCTTCGGTAATCTCGTCCAACAAATCATGCCCCACTTCGTAACCCAACGCGACCTCTACGAAGTCCGCGAACGCCCCTCCAAAACTTATTCCTGGAAAGTCTTCATCCTCTCCAACATCATCGTCGAACTCCCCTGGAATACCCTCATGGCCGTCATCATCTTCGTAACATGGTACTACCCCATCGGCCTCTACCACAACGCCGAAATGACCCACGCCGTCACCGAGCGCGGCGGTCTCATGTTCGCCTTCGTCTGGGCTTTCCTCATGTTCACATCCACCTTTACCGATTTCATCATCGCGGGCATGGACTCGGCGGAAACCGCCGGAAATCTCTCGAACCTCATGTTCTCCCTCTGTCTCATCTTCTGCGGAGTTCTCGCCTCCCCAACCGCTCTCCCCGGCTTCTGGATCTTCATGTACCGCGTCTCACCCTTCACATATCTCGTATCCGGAATGCTATCCACCGGACTCGCCAACACACAAGTCATCTGCGATTCCATCGAATACCTACACTTCAATCCTCCCTCCTCTCAAACATGTGCCGAATATCTCAATCCCTACATAAGCACCGCAGGCGGATACCTCAATAATCCGGACGCGCGCACAAACTGCGAGTTCTGTAGCGTGAGCGACACGAATGTTTTTCTAGCGCAGGTTAATGTCTATTATAAGGATGTGTGGAGGAATTGGGGCTTGTTGTGGGTTTTTATCCTGTTTAATGTGATGGGTGCTATTGGTATGTATTGGGTGGCGAGAGTGCCGAAGGGTGCTAGTAGGGGTGAGGATGAGGATGGGAATGGGAAAGTTGTGAAAAAGGGTTGGTTTGAGAAGAAGAAGATGATGAAGAAGGCGGATGCTTAGATGTGTGTGCTGTGTGTTGTGTGGTTTGAAGATGCGGATAGATGGGGTCTTTTGATGAGTATGTTTTGGTTTGATTTGATATTACGAGTATAGAGTGGACAGACAGACGTTGTGCGTAGATGATAGATAGATTCCTTTCTTGTGGATACTAGGTACCTTACCTATGTTTATTACGAGTACTTGGTTGAGTTTATTTTATCATAGAAGGGGAAGAGGAAGAGGAAGAGGAAGATGAGACAGGGTTATGATTATGAGTATGTTGTATGCGTTATATGCATTATATCCCAGGAGTATTTTTAATATACCGATATCTATATTTATTAGCTTCATATTAGATTATCTACTGTATTAGTATATATATATAGTAGTCAAAAAATAGATCCTTCCTTTCTTTCTTTATTTCCTACGAGTGGAGTGGAGTGGAGTGTCTTGATATCGTTCGCTATACTCGAGTACGTGTAAAATTATCAATGATGATCGAGAAATCAAGAAAAGGTAAAGTACAAGGTTTCCATTCCCTCTTTCCCTCTTCCGACTAAAGTCTTCTCCCTTCTCTCTCTCTCT